TTTTTTTTTTTTTTTAAGTACCGCGGGCAGGAGAAGCAACCTGGCACCCTGGGAGGCCCAGAGTTTTTCCACCGAATGTGACTGTTCAGTGGGGTCAGGCCAGATCTGCTGCTGCAGGAGAAACGGGAGTCCTGGGAAGCATGGAGTCCAGGAGGGTTTTATTATTTGTGTGTGTGTGTGTGTGTGTGTGTGTGTGTGTGTGTTGGAGTGGGGGGTGCTAGGGCTTGAGCGTGCATCCCGAGCAGAGGCTGTACCATCTATCTTCACCCCAGCCCTTTGCTCCTGTTTTGATTATGCAGCTTGTGTGTCCCACCAATAGCAGCTTGGACTTAGAGACCTGAGGGGGCGGCGCACCTCCATAAACAATAGAAGGTAGTTCTCAAATCACTATTCCGGTTTTAATGGAGTGTTTTTTTCTGGGCACAAAGGAGGGCAGACAGTATCAGGGTGCGGCATAGGGGAGCCAGCAATCCATTTCCAGACAGTGCAAGGAACATGTGGGCTTGTAAAATACTCCCCTCCCCTGATCAGTGGGATATCCCTGTAAAAATACTTCCCAGTACAGGAACTTAGCTGTCATAGTGGATGCATCTCCACCAGAACATAGCATTCACATTATTTAAAGCAACAAGATTCACTTTAAAAAAAAAAACAAAACAACACAGAGTTGAGAACATAAACTATTTAAAAATAAATAAGGACATCCTAAGGTCCTGGAAGCCCAGAGAAACAGACACATCCACAGTCCAGACTTCAGGAGCAGCTTAGAGGCAGAAGTTTCAGTCTTTGAGGTGCAAGGTGGGGTCCAGAGAAACTCTGACTCCTGAGGTGAGGCCACACAGAGGCCTGAGCCTTTTCAAGTCTTAGATTCACAAGCAGCGACTTCAGGAACCTGGAGCTTGGCGTGGAGGATGGGAAAGAGAACCTCTGAGGAAGCAGAGGCCGTTTTTACTCCTAAGATGCACCAGGGAGGGTCCCTGCAGGTCACTCCCTGCTCCAGTGGTTGATGGGATGGAACTGTGTGAAGACGGTCCTTCCCCACTTCGGCAGGGACGAGCCTGGCTGGGGCTATGCTCAGAAGGCACCAGGAGCGAAACTCAAGGCAATACAGACCTGGATGGAGAGCTCTTTCCAGGTCTTGGCGGCCCCTCCACAGATACAAGACAAGGGACTGTGCCGTCGCCTTCCCATTCTTCCACCACGTTCCTGGTTTGACCAGGTGTAAGACACGGAACCCTTGTGGCACTTCATTCACCCGCTCTCCCATCCAGGCCTCCGCGGCAGATGCTCAGCCTTCGCAGCTGGGATGCTGGTCCCGGGAGAAGCCATTAGGCCCACGAGGTGCAGCCAGCTGCGTTTTAGAGCCTGCCCAGGCTGGGCCAATGCCCCGTAACCGTCAGCTGAGCTTTGAGCAGACCCGCAGGGACTGGCGGTAGTCCTCTGTTACCTCCTGGCAGTCTGTCAGGGAGAAGCAGCTATTGCTCAGGGGGTCTTGCTGCCAGCGCCTCAGGCGGCTGCCAGAGCCCTGTGTAAGGGGTTCCTCAAGCTCAGTGAGGTTGTCCACAGACACACAGCCCCGAAGAGGGGGCTCAGGGAGCCTTTCGGGCAAGTCCAGCTGGTCGAAGGACTCAGAGGACAGGATGCTGTCCTCACTCACAGCCCCTGATGGGGAGGGGCGGCTGACCCGGGCTGCGGGGTGAGGGTTGGCCAGTTGGTCCAGGGAACCAAAGGTGGTGGGGGCTGTGAGCTCCAAGGCTGTTCTTGAGAATTTGCCGTTGACTTTGAGGATGCCCTTGCGATGAAAGAGCAACCCTGGGGCCTGTGGCGGCTTCTGCCGCTCCTGTTCTCCACTCACAAACACGTCGCCTGCATCCAGGAGCTCCCCAGACTCGCTGGGCTCCGGAGAGGAGTAGTAGCCTGACTCCCGCTGCTGAGACTTCTTGAGGATGCCCTTCTTGGGGACCAGGGGGACGGTCTGTCCCGTGCCCTCAGGAACTGGGCTGGGCTCCTGCGTAAGTGCCTGTGGCCCCTCTGAGGAGTTTGACACCCTCTTTTTGAGGATGCCCTTTGGCAGCTTGAGGCTGCCCTTCCCAGGACGAGGGGAGACATCCTCAGCTAGGTCACCTTGAAGAGACTGGGCCATGTCATTCTCCTTGCGGGACTTCTTGAGTGAGTGCTGGCGCTCCAGGCTGAGTGTGCTGCCACTGCCGCCGCCGCCACCACCACTGCTGCTGCCTCCTCCACCACCTGGCGCATGCTGCCTGAGGAAGCTGCACACCTTGGCCCCGTTCTCCAGGAGTGGGCGGGAGGATCGGCGGAGCCAGTCAGCCATGGAGGCTCGGGCAGAGTCACTGCCATTGTGTCCACCCTCGCGCACAGCATCCAGTTCCCCCACACAGGTGGTGTAGCCCCAGTTGACCCACCAGTGACTGGCCACATCCTCCAGGGTGGCCCGGCGGGTGGGGTTCACCATCAATAGCCACCGGATCAGGCCACAGGCGTCTGGAAGACAAAGGCAGGGGATTCAGTTCAGTACTTGCAAGGAAGGGTACCCCATAGCCCCTTCTCACTGGCTGGCCCCCATCTGAGCCAAGATACTGTTCACCCTTGGGCCCCATATGTGCCACTGCCCAGGCTGCTCCCCAGGCCAGTTTTCCCAAGTAGACTCTACAACTGCCTCTTTGTCCCATGACCCTTTCGTTACCTCTTGTTGGAATGTACATAGAAAGTGTACTTTCCTTTATCTCCACTGACATTCAACCCTCTCAGAGTAAGGACTGTGCTCAAGAGTAAACTAGGCTCTTCTTCACCTCTTCTTGCCTTCTATATCACATATGAAAGGTCAGAAAGATCTCTGAGGACGAGGACAAAAGCAATAGACAACTGTTTTGTTTTGTTTTCTTTTCTTTTCCTTTTTTGTCTTTTTGAGACAGGGTCTCACTATGCAGTTCAGGCTGGCCTTGAGCTCACTTTGTAGCCCAGGCTGGTCTCGAACTCATAACGATCCTCCTGCCTCAGTCTCCCAAGTGCTGGGATTACAGGCGTGCGCCACCATGCCCAGCTTAAGCAATAGACAACTGTAGCCAAGAGGATCTAAGTTAGATCTTAGGCACTTCCCAAATAGAATCAAGTATGCTCCCTGGGGACTGGGAGACATCTTCCCCTTCCTCAGAGGTCTCACACACGGAGGTATGACTGTGGAGGGCACCCTAAGCTACCATAAGTCACAATGGACTAGTGCCCTCTTGACTTTAGTTCCACTCTTTAATTCTGGCCTCAGAATTCAAGGATGCTCACCCAGGCCTGGATGAGAACACCCATCTCTTTCACTCACCAGAGGGTTTGGGCGGCTCGCAGTATGCCCCACTGCTGATCTGCTTCACCAGCGTCTTGTGATCCTGCCCGTCGAAGGGCATGGTGCCATGAACCAGGATGTAGAGGAGAACACCCAGAGACCAGCTGTCCACCTGAGAGAGAGTGAGGGATTGGGTCAGCAAGAATATCCCATGCCACAGCCTGGGGAGCTGTTAGCCTGACCTGCACAGCCAGGGGGCAGAGAGACACATGGAGGGCTGAGAGGCCAGTGTGTGACATAAGGATGACTCCCTTTTGTACCCAGGGCCAAAGATGGGACAATGCAGAAGGTGCAGAGACTCATAGGGGAAGATGCTGTTCATCACCTCCCTGGGGGGGCCAGCCCTTCTAGAGTGACTGTGACAGCTGCCATGTCTTCCAAGGAGGCGGGACTAAGTGCTGGGAGGTCGGGGAGGAATGGGAGTGAGGAAAGTGACAGGGGCAAGGCGGAGAGGGGATTCATCTAGCACCAGCTCTGCCATCTCTGGCTAGAGGCCTGGCAAGTCCCTGCTTTGGGAGCCTGCGTTTTATTCTCTGAAAAAGGAAATGACTAGAAAACTAGCCCATCTATCCGTAACGCCTAAAGTCACAACAAATGACTAAGGCAGGTAGAGGAGGAGCCGCTTACCTCTGGACCCATGTAAGGTTTCCCGTTGACGATCTCGGGTGATGCATAGAGGGGGCTCCCACAGAATGTTTGCAAGAACTTGCCTTGGTGGTAGAGGTTAGAGAGGCCAAAGTCGGCGATCTGCAGGTTTGGAACAAACATGGACGTGGTCATGCCAAGGCCTGGGATGCTCTGCAGCTCTCAGCCTGCCCTTCTTCAGACCCAGGGGAAACTCCAGCAGAAGGAGAGTGTCCCCTGCCTCCCACCCCACACTGGGCACTGTCAGCATAGTTCATTTCCTGGAAGAAAGTGCCCCAATGATGGGCGTTAATGCAGAGTATGTAGGCAGAGGTACATGGGGCTCCGGGATGGCCAGTGCTTGAAGACCCATTTGCTCATGCATGCTGTGTTCCACTCAGGAGGGATTCCGTCTCCTGCATGTATACACCTTCCTGATCCTGCATGTTTACCTCCCCTGAGAAGCCCTTCAAGGCCCCAGATCTTTTCTATGATGCCCCAGAGTTTCCAGTGGCTCTCTGCAGCTCTCTGCTCATCAGGTGTGTCTTCCAATCTGACCATACTTCTCCTCACCCCATCTGCAGCTCCTCACACAGGGAAGGCCCTCTATGAGATTCAGTGGACACTTCTGGACTACATGGAGGGTCAGCCAGATGGGAGAAGAGGGGCAATCACACACCACTGCCACAGTCCCAAGAGGTACTCAAGGCCCTGAATGCCAAACCATGCCAGGCCTGAGATGCACTTCCCTGCCGTGGCTCCTCTCTGCCCACAGAGATCACTAAAGGGTGAGGGTAAGACAAAGATCAGGGATCTTCTTGTAGGATTCCCTGAGACTCTGAGTCTGAGGGCTCGAGACCCCAACCCAAGGCTCTCACTCCCTAGAGAGCCTTTCCACCTGGCCTCAGCTGGAGGGAGAAGTCAATACCCCGTTGATCCTCACCTCCTCACTCCATGGAAGGCTGCTGTGCCCAGTGTGGGGAGGGACTGTTTATGAAATTTGCTCCTTTGTTTATGGTTTTATTGGCCTCTTATCAAACAGTTACCAGGGGAAGCCCATAACGAGGCTTATGACTTGTACAGAAAAGAGAGTGCGTGCCTGTCCGGGTTAAGTGTGTTTACCAGCACTGCTTCCCCTCCTTCCATGCCAGTCAGCATCAAAGAAAGCCCCACCTGCTCCGGGAACTGGCTGAGTGAGGGCAAGGACTCAGTACCAAGGCACTACAGGGCACAGGTCAGGGACCTCAGAGAAGACTATGCTCTGTGTCAGAAGGATTCTGAGGAGGGTCAGGGTGCAGTCACTTTCTTGGGTGCCTGTCGGGCCAGCCCGTCTGCATCAACCAGCTCTAGCCTTCTACCCTCTCCAGTCCTGAGACCTAAATTCACTCAGTCAATACGATCTTTTCCTGACTGACTGAAACATAACTACTTCAGCCTGGGAATCCAGCAGCAGCAGCAAATAGGAAGGTGGCACTTGAGGTACTCCATTGTTGGGAAAGGTGCCAAAGGGCTGCCTAATCACAGCAAGTTTGATCGTACACGTGTGCGTGTGAGTATGCATGTGCACAGGTAGGGAGAACTCTGACCACTGCCCTGTCCCTGCTAATCCCAAGGCTGTGAGCAAAGTCTGACCTTAGATCTTGACTCCTGTCAGCCTTAGGACATCCAAAAAACACTGTACTGTGAGTCAGAGATCTTGGTTCTAGCCCAGGTTCTGCCTCTCACTAGCCATGTGACATTGTACAAGCTACCCATTTGAAGGCCTGTGTCCCCATGCTGTAGGAACAGCTGTTGGAATGAGTGATGGCTGGGGTCCCTAACAGTACCAGCAGTGCCAACAGAGAAGTCTGTGCTCTTCCCGATTCCTTCAGGAACCCACTATGAGCTCGGGTCTAAGTGGTCAGATACAGTGCAGAAAACCTAGGGTGAGACCAAGATGGTCTGGAAGCTAAAGATGGGACTCACCTTGATATTTCCATTGGCATCTAAGAGGATGTTCTCCAGCTTGAGATCTCGGTGGACAATCCCATTCTGAAAGAGAGGGAGCTGAGTCAGGGCAAGGGGGAAGTGCAGCAGACACGCAGGCGCCGAGCAGGACAGAGCATGGGCAGGCTGGGATACCCAACCTTACTGATATGTAATGCGAGAAACCATAGGTCCTTTGAGTCTCAGCTGAGACCGTCAAAGCCAGAGACATCAACACTGCCTGGTCTGACAGTCCCAACTGCATGCTGCCTGCCTGTATGACGCTGGGCAAGTCACAGAATCTCGGGTTCACACCAGCCCTTTGGAGCATGGCTGGGGCAGGTGGGCGCTCACCTGGTGGCAGTAGTGCACGGCAGAGACTATCTGCCGGAAGAAATGCCGGGCTTCCCGTTCGCTTAGCCGCTGCCGCTCACTGATGTAGTCATACAGGTCTCCCTGGCTGGCGTACTCCATGACAATCACAATCTTGCTGCTGTTCTCAAACACTGGGCAGAGCAAGGCAGATGTCAGGCCTTCCCAGGGTACATCGTCCCCCACCAGGCACCACATACTCTTTCCCGATCCCAAACTACACAGGACCTCCCTGCAAGGATGTTGGCTAGTGGGCTGGAAATGCAGGCTAGAAAAGGGCCTCTGGGGAAGCTCAGCATCTTCTCTGAACAACAAGTTAAGACCAAGGCAGTGGCTGACCCTTGGTTCAGGCTTTCAAGGATTCTGAAAACCACACTGAAAATTCCTAGGAAAGCAGAGACATCGCCTGGATGAGAATGAAACGCCAGGCTCTTTGGTTCAGAACCCCATACTTTTTGACCTTGTGACCTTGGTCAAATCTCTTCTAAGATCAATCAGTAAAAATGCAGGTTTGCTGGGTGACTGTGGACAAGTCATTCAACCTCTTTCTTCATTTGAAAAGTGGGATAATAGTGGCAATCTTGGGGGCTTGGTGAAAAACAGATTAAAAAAAAAAAACAGTGATGGCACCAGGTCTGACTGAGTCAGGTCCATGAGAGCCAACCTATATCAAAGCACTTGAAAAATAGTGTCTCCTGTTATATTTATAATAGGTGTTCCCATACATGAAGTTGAAAAATAATGCCAATAATGCCTGCCTCAAAGCTCAGAGGGACAAAAGAATATGAAAATGAACCAAGAACTATGTAGTACTGTGGGAAGCTGAGACAGTCACCACTCCCACCAGCTTTGACTTCCCATCCAGGGTATACAGGCCAGGGCTTTATGTATAAGGTCTCATACAAGAAGCAATCAATGAGTATGTGGTCATTAATTGGTTGGCTGGCTTCCTGGCAGTCAGCCCACCCCAGCTGGCTCATCATTATGCGTAGGAGGGGCCTTTTTGTCACTTCAGGCCTTGTCTTGGCTCCAGCCTTTTGGAAAGGTATGGAGCAGCTGGTTCACCAGACTGGCCCTTCAGCTAGTGTGTGTCAGAACATGTATGTCCATGCTATTGCATCTTTGTGTCAAACAGGTCCTATGAGTTTGGCCTGCTTGGTCAGCCCCAGAGCTATTACTGTCTGGCTCTGAGAAGGAGCTGAGGGACAAAACCTCCCCTAAGAGGAGCCCCAGCTCCCAGGAATCTGGACACAAAGCCATGGGAGCAGTGCTTTTTCTAGGGGAACACAGTGGCCCAGCATCTTAGCAGGTGCCTGGCTGAGACTCCACTCCTATGGCTCTCAATGCCTTTGCAAGGGTACGACATTGTGCCATGAAATTGGGAATCAAGGACCACCTGGGTCAATGTAGAAGCAACTAGGATATGGCACCTGATCCAGGCATGTGGAAGCAACTAGGATATGGCACCCATGTGCCTGGAACAGGTGTAGGGCTGATGTTTCAGCCTCCCTGGATTGCTAATGATCTTACTGGTCTTGGGAGTTCCCAGGACTGGAGTCTCCCCTAATCCCACAACCCCTAAAGCCTATAATAACAGGATGGGGGTAATCTGGGGCAGCCTTTAAGACACACAGTAACTGTCATGCCCCTACATCTGCTGAATCTGCATATGCAGGAGAAGCCACATTCTGAGTGTCAGAGCTCAGTTCCCAGACCCATATCCGTATCCATATCCAAGAACATGTGGATGCAGTGCTCAATCACCAAGCTCAGCCTGGTTCCACTACTACTTTGTCATCTGCCTACTCTTCCCTGAGGGAAGTATGCAGAGATACAATTAGGTTTCTCAGCCACTTGTCTGGATTCCTTATGGGACAGGTATAGGCCACAGGGCTGTGTCAATGGTTCTGGGCTTATTCTCCTTAGGATCCCAAGAGTGGACACTTCTCTCTTTTTTGCCTACCAAGAATTTTCAGACAGCAAGGCCACAGGCTGTCTTCCCTTCCTGCTGCTGCCTCTGTTATCCCTGGTTCCTTTCTAACTGATATTACAGCAAGGCTCAAAGCAGACAGGTATGTGGGGGAGGTACTCCCCCTCTCCCTCGTCACTCTGCCTTGATCACTTTGTTGTCTGGGTCATGGAGAAGAGGGCAGCTAGGGTGGTGAAGCTGACATCAGAGGAAAAGAGGCCAAGAGAGATGGAGAGAGGTAGGAGACAGCACTGTGGCAGGAGTGACTCAGAGCACAGGTTGGATTCTGAGAAGTCTGGCTCTGGGGATGCATGAAAAATAGCACCCACATGCCTGGATCAGGTGCAGGATGATATACATTTCAGCTTCCCTGGATTGCTAAGGATCTCACCAGGCTGAGGAGGTTAGGGTTCAAGCGGGAAAACCAATAGCAACAACAAAAGCTTGTCCTGGGGCCGGGGATTTAGCTCAGTGGCACCGCGCTTGCCTGGCAAGCGCAACGTCATGAGTTCGATTCCCGGTACCGGAAAAAAATCAAAAAAAAAGAAAAAAAAGAAAAGCTTGTCCTTCTTTGAGTCCCTCCCATGAGCAAGGCACTCAGTAACATCCAGTTTGATCTTTGTAACCACCCTGTGACACAGAGGGGATTATCCCATTTTTATAAATGAGGAACTGAGGCCCATGGATGACATTAAATGCTTTGTCCTAACTCATATAGCTAGGTTTCAAATCCAGTTTTCACCCAACTCTAAAGCCCTTACCATTTTTACTTTGTGTCGTTAACTCTGACTCCTCTTTTATGCACACATGCATGCACACTCCCAGCTCCCAGCTCCACATGCCCCATGCCGTACCTTCATGGATGGCAATGATGTGGGGGTGGTTGAGTGACGACATGATCTCAATCTCCCGCCGTATGTGCATTAGGTCTTGCTCATCTTTGATTTTGTCTTTTCGGATTGACTTGATGGCCACCTGGGGAGACAGAACACAGGAGATTAAGGAGAAAGGTCCGGCAAATTGAGGATGCTTTGAGGAGCTTGGTCCTGGGGGCCTCCCTGCAGCTGCTATGTAGGCCCCAGGGTGCACCCAGACGATCCACCTTACTCTCCACCAGGGTAGGTGGTGGAGAGGCTGGAGAGCCACCTTTTCTTGAAGTTCTCACTTGGGTTCAGTGTAGTCCATGCTCGCAGCAGGAAGGAGTACAGACCAGGGGACTCCTTATTCAGGGTCTACAGATGGACAAGGAGGGTAATGACCTACAGCCCTAAGCCTGATGCGCTATGATTTACAAAGCAAACTTGCCACACTGCACCAAGATTGGGACTGTTTTGCTCACCTTTGGACACTCGATGCCAGGCACATTTCCTGGCACACAGTAGGCACTGAATAACAGTTTACTGCATTAAATGAATTGACCCTCATGACAGTGTTAGGAAGTAGGCACAGAAAGTCTTGTTAGCCCCATTGAAGAAACTGGAAGGTGAAGAAACTGGAACACAGAGAGGTCAACTGACTTGCCTAAAGCCAGTTGTCACTGAATGGCACAAACTGGGTTTAGGCTATTGGCTGTCTGATTCCAAGTTTAGTCCTTTTTTATTGCTTTGACACTCAAACTTGCTATAAACATCTCATCTCTACCCAAAGGTAGAAAGAACTCAAATTTCCATCAATAGATGAATAAATAAAATGTGGTACATACAATGGAATATTATTCAGCCACAAAAATGAATGAAAAAACATTTTTTGTAGTGCCAGGGATCAAAAGAGGAATGAAATTCTGACATAGGCTACAACATGGCTGAACCTTAAAAATATTTTGTTTATTTTTTTTTTATGAGTACATGTTTGTAGTACGTAATGATCACATTGCTCATGGGTGAACATTGAAAATATCATGCCAAGTGAAATAAGCCAGTTACAGAAGGACAAATAGTCTATGATCCCACTTACTTGAGGTAACTAACTAGAGCAGGCAAATATATAGAGACAGAAAGTAGAGCAGTGGTCTATTTTATGGGTACAGAGCTTCTGTGTGGGGTGATGAAAAGGCTTTAGAAACAGGTAGTGTGGTGATTTACAGCATTGTGGATGTGCATAATATACCAGCCTTGTGCTGCGAGGCTGCAGTTAGGAATATGCTCAGGCTTCAGAAGAGGTGTGTCTCCAAGACACAAGAGACCGGTGAAATGGCCAGTGCCAATTCCGGTCAGCAGGTCTGGAAACCAGTCAAAGACGGGCAGATCATCTAAGCCTGTGACTGTCCATTCCCAGGCTCAGTGCTGGAAAAACACCCTGGTCACCAGAAAGGCAGGCACAAGGCATAGGTAATGAGAGGGCATGACCAGAGGGATGCCAGAGAAGGTGACATGGATGCAAGGATGTGGATCCTGTGCGGGCTGCTCTGGAGATACCAAGACTCTAAGAAGACTGACTGCTGCTTGTACCACAACCTGCACCTGAAGGTAAAGGGGAACGCGTTCAAGAACAAGTGATTCTTATAGCACACATCCACAGGCGGAAGGTGGGTGAGACCGCAGGAAGCTCCTGGCTGGGCGGGTTAAGGCTGAGTTGAAGGAGCACAAGCGACGTGAGCGTCTCCATGCCAAGAAGGAGGAGGCAACCAAAACCCTGTCCCAGGAGGAAAAGAAGAAGCAGAGCCCCTGTGTGTGCGTAGTGACCTCAGTGCTTAAGGAGACTGGTCACAAATAAAATAGCCTTGGTCTATTGAAAAAAATACCACTGAGTTGCACAAATGATTAAAATGAAAAATTTATACTATATTTTAGTACAATTTTAAAAAATCACCCAAAAAACTATTTAAGAAAACTCCAAACAATAATCTTTTCAGGTAAGGAATGTCCCTCCCCTAGCAACAAGCAAACAAACAGCTAGGCAGAGTCCTCCAGGACTTGCTATCTTAGTCCCTAAAGGTAAAAAATACTGTACAAAGGTTAACTCTTTTTAAGCCAGACATGGTGATACACAACTGTAACCCCAGACCCTGGGAAGCTGAGGCAGGAGGATCACAAGTTTGAGCCTAGCTTGGGTAACTTAGTGGGTTAGCAAGACCTCATCTCAAAATAGAGAGAAAGAAAGAAAGAAAGAAAGAAAGAAAGAAAGAAAGAAAGAAAGAAAGAAAGAAAGAAAGAAAAAAGAAAAAGAAAAAGAAAAAGAAAAAAGAAAGGTGGGACTGGGAGTGGAGCTCATCACGAAAGCCCTAGATTCAGTTCCAGTACTGGAGAAAAAAATCAAAAGACTAACCCCCTAGCTGGTGTGTGGTGGGCTCAGGAAGGAGGGAATGAACAAAATGGAAATGGAGGAAGAGCTGTCAAGAAACAGTTCAGGCACCTCAGAGAGACAGGGGCCTCAGTGTCTCTCTGCAAACCTCACTCCACAGAGGCAAATAGACAACACCCACTGTGGTGACTGGCGGGAAAGCACAGCCAAGGGCACACAGCCGCTGCCTGGGGACCCAGGGGACCAGGGTTCTCCAGGTTCTGTCCCTATCCCCGTGGGTCATGTCCCTGTCTCCCTCCCTCTCAGAGCCTTCGTTTTGTTTTCTGTGAAATAAACAGGTTGCACTAGGCTGTCGGAGGGGCTTTCCCGCTCAGATTGTATGAAATGAGCTGTATAAATGCCACAGGTCCTCAGAGGCTGTGACCTCAGAGGCTGCCAGGTTGCACTGGGTGCTGGGCGGGGTGAGAGGGGGTGGGGTGTCCAACAGGCCAGTCGGTTGGTTCCTGGCAAGTCCTGTCCAAGGACAAGAGTGGTAAATACAAGACTTCCTCCTCATGGGAGATAGGCAAGTTGTGAGAAATCCAACGACCCAGAGGAGGCAAACAGCTCCTTATTCAATTTCCCAGGAGGGTTTGCCTCCCCTCAAGATTCAAAAGGAGACAGAGAAAAGGAAACCTCTGCTGGTGGGGCGGGTGGGGGACTCTAATCCAGCCTTTCACAGGCTCTGGAGGCAAACAATGGCTTCCCGCTCACGCAGGGACAGTGGGCCCTGCCGGCCTGTGTCCGCCATTGGACAAGAATGCGGAATGGGCCCTAATCCCGTAAGAGGAGCTGCTCACAATGGCCACAGCCCGGTCACCCGGGCAACAGGCCAGGGATGGCGTGCCCTCCACCCTGCTCCTCCCTTGAAGCTGCATCAGTGAAAGAGGGAGGCCCCACTCTCTCTCGGGCCCTCCAGGAGCCTGGCAGGGAGGACAATGGCAGGCGGGAGGGACGGTCACCATGGAGCCTCCTCCCCGAGATGCAGAGGGGCCCATGCTGCAGCTGCAGGGGCCAGGACCGCCCCTCCTGCGCCAACCACCCTGCTCTCTGCACTCAGCTAAGCAGAAAAGTTTGTGGGCCTGAAATGGGGCAGGCAGTGGGGGTATGAGGTAGAGGCACTGAATCCTCTCAAAGTAGGGGCACCTCTCTTTTATGGATTCAACCCGAAGCATCATTCCCACACGCATCTCTCTCCACATCCCTCTTCTCTCCTAGAGAGGGGAAATTTTATGGACTAGTTCTTTTTTCTGTTTTTCTTTCTAAAATAAGACAATAGGTAAAATGCTGTGAGTGCTTCATAGACAAAGGTCTATCAAAAGTATATTAATAAATATAAGACAATCTTATAGAAGCACAAATCACTATCTACACAATTAAAGATATTTGAGAGTTTAAGATGTCCACAAATACAAAGATGAGGCACATACTGGATGCTTGGGTGTTTACGTGCACATGTACACGTAGGCAGAGAGCTCATAGGCTTAAGGGTAAAGCTCTAAAGACAACTGGCCTAAAGAAATAAGGTTCCAAAAACTGTGGGGTTTTGGGGTGCTGGACAGAGTGTCTTTGTGGCCATAAAATGTAGAAGTAGAACATTGGTAACCTTCTATATTAGTGATCAGGAGATCACTGCTCGACTGGGGCATCCCAGGAAGGACTTAGATTTTGTCGTTAGCCTCTCATCAGTTTCCCTGCAGGTGACAGACAAGAAGAGTGTGGCAGTGGTGGGACTGGACCACGGTTCCCTAATCTCTCCCAGCCCCACAGGAGAGGCCTCTAGCTATCTCCTGGCTAGCCTGTCAAAGTAAATTAGATATAGCACTAACTCAGGCCTAGACAGAGATCAGTACACAAAAAGCACACACCATTTGTTTGCCAGTAAATAGAAAACACAAATAAATATTTATTGGTTTAAGTCGTGACTATGCTGATCTTTGACTTGACGGAACCAGTGCCTAGATAACATTTTTCCCTTTCTTCCTAGCCTTAGGTGGAGTCAGTCTTGGCTCTGAGAACTAATTTTTAGAGAACTTTGTTCTCACCACCTATGTTCTGGAATAAAAATCAGCTGACTAAAGTCAAGTTAGAGGGTAACAACTGTCCAGAGGTAGAAAGGCCACATACGTGGAGACAGTCCTGGTTTGTCCTGGTGTAATTATTATGGTTGCCTCTTTGGCTCGCAAACTGCTCAAGTTCAGACAACATATTACATGGCCATCACACTCAGTCAGAAGAAGGAAATCCAAGCTTGATGTTAACAACATGGACATGAACACATGCCCAGTGGGTGCTCTCAAGAACCCATGTACCGGATACTTGCTTTTATAGACCTGTGCAACTCTAGGCAGGTTACTTAGAGGACTTCGTTAACTTGTCTAGCTAGTCTCCTCATCTGAAAAATGAAAGGACACTGATTCTCCAAACATGTAGTAGGTTGCTGAATGCCTACTATGTGCTTGGTACTGTGCTAGGTGTTGGGAATTCACACAAAAACTGGAGAGCCCCTGTGGTGAGGGCCCCCGTCTGAGGAGAAGACTGTAATGACAACTATAGTCGAGTGTGGTAATGTGTCAGCTGAAGGCCCTGCTTGCCAACAGGCTGCAGGAGCACCAGAGCTTGCTTTGCCTGGAGGAGCAAGGGAAACCATCCCTGGGAGAAGGCTCTTTTAGATCTTGAAGAATGGGTGAGGTCTGTTAACCAAGGTTAGTGGGTTAGGGAGGGGCAGCAAGGGCACTCCAGACAGAAAGGACGGGGCCAGGATGAATCTGCATGGCAGGATGGATCGCTGTGCTCCCTCTGCACTCCAGTGTTCTCCACAGAGCTTCTTCTGCTTCCTTGCCTGAGAGGTGCTGGCCAAAGGTTGTGGCAAAGCCTCCGTAACATGGCCATGTTAACCTGTCTGAACATAATTCCTGAAGATACTGTCCCAGTGAACTTCTTGCCCTGGCAGCCCTGCATGTTGGAAAAACAGCAAGGCTAATTCCCCATCCCATTTTGCACACAGTAAACACTTTTCCAAGATTCCCCAATCCATCAAGACAGATTCAGAGAGAGAGATGCTGTCCAGAGAAGCTACCATCTCAGAAGACAAAAGTTCCTTGGAGGTGCCCAGCCCTGTCTCCCATCTCTGGAGAAGGGACTGCCCTATATCTTGCCCTGGGCCAGGCTTTGCCACTCCATCCCATTTAGAGATATACAAATACCTGCACTCCTTTGCCAGCACCCTAGAATGTGGTGCTCAGGCTCAGCTGGTAAATGCTGCCTCCTTCCCAGGAACTCAGGTCAGAAATGATCTGCATTCAGGAAAGGATGATGGAAAGTTCTTAGGATAAAAAAAAAAAAGAAAAGAAAAGAAGGTCCAGAGATGCTGATTCCAGGTGCTGAGAGAGAGGGTGCAGCTGGGTATCTCTGATCATAGCTATCACGGGGAGTCAGAGCCAAGGTCCTTGACTCCTCTCTGGCCTTTCATGGAGCAGCTGCTGTCTGGGAGCAGGCAAGGAGCTTGAGGATGACCCACTTAGATAGTGAAGGCAGGGTTGGGCCAGCCTGGCCTGGGCTGAGCAGAGACCAAATGAGCCTGGGGGTGGTTCACAACCCCACCAAAAAACCAGGCAGAATCTGGCCAGAGCCCGGCAGGGAGCAGGAGTAAACTCTGAAGCGAGGCTCAGCCACCTCCCCCAAGCCCCGAACTATGCCACCCTCTCCCTGCCACCCTCTAGCCCATTCTGCCAGGTTCCTGGGCAAGGAGCTCTCCTGCCCAGCCCTCTTGTGTGGCTTGGCTGGAGCCCAAGGACAAGAGTCGCCGGCAGCCTCCTTCCTTGCTGCTGAGCCGGCAGGTGCAGGAGGAGCTGGGAGGGCAGCATCCTGCGAACAAACCTGTGGCCGCTGGCCAGGCAGGAGTCATTCACTGAAGCTGGGGACTGAGGAGAGACTGGGGCTTTGAACGAAAAAGACCAAAGTGGTTCATCTCAAGGAAGGCTGCACACAATCCACACCCTTTCTTGGGGCAGCATAATGCTAGGATACAGGAGTACCCAGGAAAAGGAAGGCAGGGCTTGGTCAAAGCCAGCCTTGCTGGGATAATAACATTATATGTGTTAGATACATTACATATCTAAGCATTTTATATTTATTATTTTACTGAATCCTTGGAGAATCCCACGAGGCAGGAATTATTATAATCCCCATATTACAGATAAGAAAACCAGGGTCACACCACTGGTAATGATCTGAACCCTTACAGTCGTAACTCTGAGCTAGGCACCCTCCCTGGCATGGTTTTTGTTTTTTTTTTTTTTTTTGTATTTTTTTTTAGTTTTTAGTTTTTCTTCCAGTACCGGGAATCGAACTCACAACCTTGCGCTTGCCAGGCAGGTGCTTTGCCACTGAGCTAAATCCCCAGCCTCCTCCCTGGCATGGTTTAAAAACCAGGAATGTAGTGTAGTTTCCCCCACCCAGGATCCCTCAACAGAGCCAAGTGTGTATGGGGGTGAGGGCTGGTTCCCAGTGACTCTCCCCACCCTTGGCATTGCCTGGGGCTCCGGGAAAGGCAGTGGGAGCTTGCTGCTGGATTGACACAGCACACTGAGGCAAGCTCAGGCTCAGCAAGGCCCAAGTTCCAGACCAAGACTCAGCAGTTGGTCATCCAGGGCTTGGGGCAGACACGTCTGGAGCGTATGTTTCAGGTTGCCACTAAGCAGCCAAGAAAGGGTAAGTCACTCCCTTTTCTGGCCCCGTTTCCCCACCTGTCAATGAACGTATCACATCATCTCAGTCATTTTCAAACATTTTGAAAGCCCACTGGGTGATTCAATATATAAAAGATACAGAGGTAGGCCCACCCTAAAGAACCTCACATTTGAACACACATTTGAACTTCCCTCATTCCCTACATCAGCCCCCCTTGGGAGGTTGGCTTTCATATACCTCACCCGAAGGCTTTGGTGGCCTCCACCATTCCAGAAAGCCTGGCATGTGTTTTTTTCTTTAGGGGAAAGGGGTGGTCAGAGGAGCTGGGAGAATCACAGGAGGAAATGTCATTTGGATACCAGGAATGTGTTCAAGATCCAGAGCAAATATTTGTTTTTCCTCTGATGCCCTCTTGGAGCAGCCATTAGTCCCACCCACCTGCCCCTCCCTCCCCATAATCCCATCTGGCTCCTGGTAATTCCATCTGGGCAGGTTGGGAGCAGGAAGTGTGCAAGAGGGGTGGAGAGAAAATTGGGATGAAAGTCGCTCAGCAGGCTGCCCTTCGCATCCACCCATCATCAATAATCTCCATTCATTTGGGATAGCTACTGTGTCCCTCTCCCCACTGCAACATACTGAGGCATCGCATCTCACTCTCTCTCCAGAGGAGACAGTCAAGATGCAGGCTTGCTGGGCATGGAAGAGGGCAAAGCTCCAGGATGGAGAAATGGTCAGCACAGCAGAAAGCTGCTCTCCAAGAAAGAGGAGGGACCCTGAGCAAATTCCCAGCAGCAATACTGGGTGGTCTATGGATCAGGGAGGTTCAGAACAGGTCCCAGCCCACTGATCTTATCTCTCTACACACAGCAAGAGGCAAAGGCCACAGAGTTTCTTCTGAATTCTCTGTTCTGATGTAATAAAAGCTGGAATCCCTGCCTAGAGCCACTAAAAGCTGATTTATCTCTGAAATCAAATGAGACCTCCCCCACACACACACCCCACAGTGACCCCAGTCAAAAGCTTCATGGAATCTCTGAACTTCAGCCTCAGTTTCCGGGCCATCCCAGGCCTCACAAACCAGTCTTCCCCAGAGCAGGAGCAAGGGGCACAAGCCATGAGCAACTATTTTCAAGCTCAAGCTTTGACAAAGCCCAGGCACAGCAGTCTCAAACCTGGAGCCTCACTAGGCCCTCACTCTATAGAAAGAGAAAGAAAAGGAAAGCCAGGAAGTACATGATTGCCCAATAGCTGTAACCTGGCAGCGGGCAGCTGGGGGTTCTGCCAGGCATAGCAGAGGAAACATACTTGGTCCTATTGATGGGGCCATCATCCACTCTTTTCTCTAGCACCCACTCTTCCTTCACCAATGAAATGACTTCCTCAATTTCAAACTAGCTAGTGGCTGAAAAGCAAACACAGTCCAAGGAGGGGAATGCTGCCATAGCCAGTAGGGCAAACTATGGTCATGTGCGCACGCGCGCGCGCGCGCGCACACACACACACACACACACACACACACACTCTCTACACAAGCACCCAACTGGATCTGGCAAAACAGAAGCCCTAAACCACCTGTTCTCTAAAGGGCTTGTTAAAATAGGAATTATAAGCTTCCAAAATAAATTTCCGACTGTGGAACCAGAGAATAAGTATTTTAAACACATGCCCCCCCCCCATTTCCATGTGCACTAAAATTCAAGTTTGAGAAGCACTGTTAACCACCGTTAGCTAACTTCTGGCAAATCCACCATCCTTTCAGATAGAAGTATCAATTCGTGCTGCAAGTTCTGTCCATCAAGAACACTTCAAATTCACATTTGTATCTGATTCAATCTTCCTAGGGGCTTGTGAGGCAGGCTGTTTTCTACTTTTTTTTTGCCGAAGGGGAAACTGAGAATTCAGAGATGCAGGAAATTGCCCAAGGTCACAGATTACCATGACAACACACACACACACACACACACACACACACACACACCAAATCAACAGGCCAAGTTCCGCAAAAGGCCCCAAACCCAAAAGTATCTTGAGGGACAGTGCAGCTGGCACCAGAGCCTGGTTTTACATCTCCCTGAATCGAAAACTCATCATAATGAAAGTGTGGTTTAGTTTTGAGGCTGGATTAAGACCTAAGAGTCAAACCCATCCCTATGCAGAGCTCCACTGTTCACTGGACAGCCAGACTGTAAATGCTGAAAGTCCCCGTATCTTGTTCATCCAACCACACACCTACTTATCAAGCCCATGTTAAGATTGGATGCCTTCTACTTTCTCTTTCCATTCCACTCTATTGAATAGTCTACTCCAAGCGAAATTCAGCTTAAAGCACATCTTTTCTAAGGACCTGCCGTCTGGTGTTGCTGGGGGTTCTCAGGACCGCTGTCCCTATAATCTTGGACAGACACATCCACAGGAGATATTCGCCAGGTCCCCGCCCCGCGCCACCTCGCAGTGGTGCAGAGGCGCGCTGCCCCCACAGACTGGTGCGCACCACGGCCCACGCCCCATGCCCGACTGAGCCAGCGCCGCGGGAGCCACTCACCAGGCGCCCCGAGCTCTCGCGCGCCTTCTTCACCTTCCCGTAGGTGCCCTTGCCCAGGGTCTCCAGGAACTCGTAGCGGTGCCGCAGGTTATGCTTGTGGTGGTGTCGCTTCACCGCCTGCTTTTTCATCAGGGGCTTGGGCGACTTGATGAGCCTGTCGCCCAGGGGCCGGGCGAGCTCCGTGGCCAGGGGGGTGGCGGTCAAGGGAGCCGGGCCCGGGCGACGGGAGAAGGCCAAGGACTCCATGACGAGCAGGAGGTAAGCGAGGACTGAGAATCGATCGGCTGCTCTGGGAGGGCTACAGCGCGGGGCACATGTCCCGCACCCGGACCCAGATTGGGAAGTCACTGCCGGGAAGTCACGGTAGCTACGGAGCGAGTTGCAAAGCTCCGCATTCCAAGTTCTTATGAACGCTCCGAGCCCAAGGCCCTGGCCACGCCCCTCGACGCCCATTGGCCCGCTCACCGGCGGCGCGTGACTAGGGCCTCCACATTGGCTCGCTGGGGTCCGACACCCCTCCTCCTCCCTAAGGCAGGGGCTGGGAAAGGTGTTAGGAGCCCCACCCACCTGGGTCTCCAAGGGAGGGGAATGGAAACTACAAGGCAGAGTGGAGGCTGCCGGGCCGGTTGGTACTACTGAAGTCCACAACCTTTGAGGGCCCTCGGAACTGCTGTAGCTTCTGAGAGGCACTTGGTCCTGGTTGGAGCCACCCGCTCTATTGCACTGTGCTCTCGAGAGGCAGGGGGCAACCTTAGGATGCTAGAGCTCACCATCATTTGCTTCTTTCTCCCAAGTCAAACTCTAGCAAGTCGTCTGATAATTTTTCTGTCCACAAAGGAGAAAAGTGAATGGAATGGGAGGGCTGGTGGACAGTGTGTGTGAGTTCACTTCTCTACAGTTAGATCAAACTTAACTGGATCCCGGAATCCTGGAATCCTGGACTGGGAGGTCCTTACTCTTTATGAAAAAAGGCTTGTAGGGCAGACGTGTGGTGTGATTTATGGAGTGTTCGTTCATTCATGAAAAAATATATTACACTTCTACTAAATAGCTGCTCTACCCAGCATTTTCTTCTCCATGACTTTAGAGCCAGGAGGACTTGTGCCACATCGTGAGGTTTGGCTTGGTTTTTGAGGCCTGAAAGGCTAGGTCTAGAATCCCCTTTTAGAGTGAAACAAGAACGTTCATAGGCTTTTCTCCTCTTCTAACTGGGGGAGAAAGGAAAACTTTCCTGAGCTTTTTGACTTGATAACCCAAATCTATGCAGTGACTATTGTTCTGTCTGAGGCTGCACAACTGGTGAGAGTCAGACCCTGGTCTGTGGAGAGGACAGTGAAGATAATAGGCTTTCTAGAATATTTTTCTAGGATTTCTAGAATTTCTAGGATAGCTTTCTAGAATTGCTAGAATAGCTTTCTAGACCTGATAACCCAAATCTATGTAGTGACTATTGTTTTGCCTGAGGCTGCACAACTGGTAAGATTCAGACCCTGGTCTGTAGAGAGGACAATGAAGACAATAGGCATTGATCTCCTTCCCCAAAGCAGAAAGGCCCTGACTGGACTCCAGCTGTGTCCACATCTCATTCCCCCTGGAGGATGGTTCTCCAGCAGTATATTCGGGGGATGCTGAGGATCTGGAAAGACTAGATACCCAGCTGGTAAATTTGTACTTAGTGTTAGCCCACTTGTCTACTTCTACTGGTCCTTTGACCCTAGTGTGATTCACAGATGTCTCCAATCTCTGCATGGAGCCTTTGGCCTTTGTGACTGGAGAAGATCAGGATCCTCTTACATAGGACACTAATCTCCATCCCCCAAATCTGGGGAGCCATAGGACATGGTAGCTGGTTTGGCTTTTCCCCTTTATCAGCTTCCCCTTTTGCTCAGGTTATCTGTGAAAAGAGAATGAGTTCTGTTACCCTGCTGTTTCCTTTCCCTCCTGGTGTCTGTATCCATTCCTGAGGGCCACTCTGGACTGACTAAGACTCTTAAAAAGAAACTTGGGTAATCTAAGAGCCAGCACAAGGCTGAGTGCCGGGAGACCTCAGTTCTAGTCACGACTCTGACACAAATGAGCTGTGTGCCTTCTATCAGTCTCTTTACTTACTCTACAAACACTGGCCCCTACTCATTCTGGGCCACAGGAGACAATAGTGACAAGATGGACATAGTTTCCACCTTCAGAGAATTTTCAGTCTCATGAGAAACAATGCTGTATAGAAGGAGAAATGTCCAGGATGGGTGAAGAACAGAATGCCCTTGGGGTGTTTAACAGGAGGGAGCCCTGTCCCAGATGGGAGGAGGTTAGTGAGGGGATGCTTCCTGTGGACAGGGCTTTTAAAGCTGAGATCCAAAAGTCGTGTGGCAATTAGCCAGATGGATTAATATTTCCTTGTAAGAAAGACAAAGAGTTATACAGATAAACCCAAGATCATCATTTGGGCTGATCACCTAATCCAGACTCCTCTGAATGTTTCCAAGACCCCATGTACTGGTGGGTGTATAAAAGCTGCTCAGTAGATGTTTACAGACTAATGGAATGGATGTGCAATGGAATCTGAAGACTGAGTTGAAAGGACCTACACATAACTGATCTCCCTTTGTTACCATCTAAACTGGTAACATCAGAGGGGCCCATTACCTGTATGCTCTTGGACCCTTCCCCACATCCACTGCAGCTTCCTTGACTACAATCTGGATGGATGACCAAAGACCCCAGAAAAACAAGATCTCCCCAGATTCAGCTCAAGTGCAGCCTGGCAACCCACAGGGGGCGAAGAATGGGGCCTTAGTGACATGTCTTGGCTGTTGACTATCCCCAGCAGGCAGCAAGGAAGGTAAACAAGCAGACACAGAGCCAGAATAATGCACACCTCGGAAATGATGTGGACTGCTGGTAGCCAACTCTCACATTCCTTATAGGGAAATCTGGTTGGTGGCAGAGTGAAATGCCCGACAGGGACTTGGCTGTCAGCAGATCGTGGGGAATTCCTGTCATGAGCTCGGATGTGTGCCTGTGCCTGGATGTCTGGGCTGAGCTGAGCCTCCCTCTCTCCTGTCTGCCTCAGTCTCCAGGCCTGGGAGGGGAAAGCCTCCACCTGCCCCCACACCCTACCAATGATTAATGTCTCAAAGGCTGCTCTTGGGGACAACCATTTATTACACCTACTATGTGCACATTGGGAGACAACCAGGAATAAGCACCTGTGCCATCCTTATGCGTTTCACAATCTGTGTGTGCAGTAGGTGTGTGCTGGTGGAAGGCTTGAAAGTAGCTCAGTGACAAGTCCTGTGACATGTCCCATGGTGTGTGGCATGAGCAGGGGCACAGCTGAGGGGCAACCAGACCATGCTTCGGGTGAGGTGGGGATGGGAGCAGACAAAGCAGGTCTCCAGCACCTCTGGGATGAGATTGAGAGATGACTAAGAATAAGCTCCCTGTTCTCAGATGTTTACAGTTTAATAAAGGAAATATAATAAATAACAATTTCCCATGTGCTCCAAGGCAGAAAGTGGGAGGGCTCTTAAGAGAGTACAGAGTAGTACACAGGCTTGAAAGAACTGGTCTTATTCTGTCTTGGGAGCTCCATAGAGGCCCTACAGGAGTCCATTTGAACCTTGAAGAGTGGGTGAAATTGAGAGTAGCCTTTGGGGATGAAATAGGGAGGTGGGGATGAGGGGAAGAAAGAAGGGGTGACAAAGAGCATGCTGCATCTAATGACTCTGGAGCAATGGTGGCAAAACTATGGCACGTGTACCACAGCAGGCAGGCATAGTCCTCTCAAAACTCAAATCGCTTCAGCATCGCCCAAGCATTCAGGTTTAATTGCAGTGCTGGCACTTTGCAATAAGTAAGTGGGTTTGGGGTTGCAGTTTGGGCACTTGGGTTCCAGGTTCGCCATCACTGCTCTAGAGAGTCCCCAGGACCCTAGAGTATCTCCTCTCTTGGGGTTACTGTAGAATAGATGCCTGAGTCCCACTGCCCCTTTTCTCAGGAAAAAGAGAAGGCTGGAGAGTTCAGCTCACCACCTACTCCCAACCTCAACTGTCAAATTGCCTTTCTCCAGCACTTAGAGGATGAATTACAGAACCGCACCAGCATCCTGCGGACTATGCCACCTGGAAGATAATAAGCTTTCCATTCTCGGGCTGGCTCAAAGCTGCCCTCTGTTGACCAAACTAAGCCTAGCAAGATTCATGAGGCCCAATCCTGTGTCTACACACTGAAGTCGGGCTTTGGTTTGCTCTTTCAGTCAATAAATATACACTGAACAACCACAATAATAGTTATAAGAGTCTAACACTTACTGATCCAGTCCTCGTTCTAGACATCTTAGATATGGTGTCACGGCCAAGAACACCCAGCTAGAAGTAGCAGAGCTGGGAGGTAAACCCTGTCAGTGTGATATCACAGCTTGTGAGCCTAACTATTGCATTGCCTTGTGGTACCTACATGGGCTCTGGAATACAAGGTGGAATTAATGAGCTGTGAATTAATGAGTCTAAATTCTAGTAAGCCTTACTAGGAGTTTGGAGAACTTTGTGCTGAAACATTGAAGATAGTCCTCTAGATCCCAGTTACATGGGACAATTTGATGTCATTCACAGGCAAAGCCCAAGAGGGGATGTCTATGAAGGAGAAGAGAAACTGGAGAACTTGCCCTGTCTCTGGGCTGGAGAGGCGAGGATGCTATGCACAGAGGGACAGGAACCAGGAGTCCTGAGATCCAGCCCCACTTCTCACTTCAACCCCCAAAGTGGCCATGGCCAAAGACCTTCTCTATTAGGAGTGGTTCCTTATTGCCAAAGAGGAATTTAAATAAACCAACTCTGAGTTTTGCTTCAAATCTGTTGTGATCCCTCTGCAATAACTAAGCATGGACACCAGTTACTCTTCTTGTTTTGCCCACCTGGTACCTGATTCCCTTGCTGTGGGGCATTCAGAAGCCTCATTCCCTGCCTCACTCACAGGCTGGCATGATGTTTTGGCTCAGGAGTCTAGCAACCTGGGCTCCAGGCTGTGTTCTGCCAGTGACTGACTGTGAATGCATCTCATTTCTCTGCAACTCTATGAAAAAGAATGATGATACAGCCAAGGCAGCATGCCAGCCATTGTCACTGAGGTGACCTCTCCTAATGAATTCAATTCTCAGCATAACTCTGTGGAGTAAGTACTAACACATGATTATCCTCATTGCATAGATGAGGAAACTGAGACACAGACAAAGTAAGCAACTGCCACTT